TAAAAGCATTATATAAGAGTTTATATTTATGTTATATGTCAGATTTGAAGAGTTATAGTGATAACCAAAAAAAACCAGACTTCAGCTTCAGCTTTTAAACCTAAAACTTACTATAAAAAAAATCCAAATTTGCAAGTTCAAATTTTGGTGTTTCTATTATCACTTATATAAATTATGATTAGCTTAACTTGATCCTAAATATATCCATTCTGATTCTATATATAATACTTATAAGATAAACTCCTTTTTCTATATTTACAACTTTTATTCTACAAATTTTTGCAATTGTTTAATAGACACTTCTCAAATTCTTAAAGCATTAAAAGAATATTATTCAACTCTGTAAACTTGTCAGGACTCAATGAGCATAAGTAGCTTTGAGTTAAATTTAATAATTTGAATTATAAGGTTGGTTTGTGTTTCAAGATCACATATGGATAACAGAAGGAACCGTCAATGTTATACGTTAATCCTTCACACAATGTAGTCAATCAATAATAAAATTATTTATTTTGTATTTACACTAAAATGTATATTATGGATATAATCCCTTGCTCTATTGTTCACAATTAAACTAAAATTATTTATATGTAACTTCAAGTGTAATGAATATAATTCCTCATTTGGTGTAATATTAACGGTTCCTTCTGTTCATATAGATATATCAATACGATCTTTTGTACTCCCGGTTTTATGGTAATATATTACAGTATCACGGTTCAAGATCAATTTATTATGCTAATCATGAATCTTATCAATTTAAATAGATAAGGAGTTTGATTATTAATCAACATATACTTTTTTTATTAATAAGTAATGTTGGTTTTATGAAGGTTAGAGACAATGTAACGATCAAATTACTTTAATGATTTTTGCAACGAATAAAAGTACTACCATAGTGCATTGACCAAAGTACCCATCTCTATTAATTAAACATGAGTTTTTTTAAATTTTTAAACTGCTTATTGTAAGTACAGAATATGTATATGCTTGAAAATTTTCTTTCTTATGACATAAACCTGTAACGGTCAATAGACCTGGGTCTTTTGTAAGTTTTTTTTTGAATGGATTGTATTGTACCCCAGGTACTTTGGTCAGTGCACTACAGTACATAGAGACTATTACTAATACTTTATAATTTGAAAGTAAGTTCCTTTATTTTAAAGATTTTTTTATACAGTACATTTATGATGATATAAGATTTTACCGTTCTGTCTGCCCTTTCTACCATATGCTACATATATAACAGGTTTGGCAGATCTGACCAATTTGGATTTACCTAGCAATACTAGTATGTAGCAATAAGTAAGAATTTACCGATACAGGTTATATATAAAATGTTTAATATATTTAATAACTTGTTTATATTTATTTGCAATAGAACTATACTAATATATATATATATAATACTAATAATAATGGTTGAAAAAGTAGAAATCTTAAAGTATAAAAAAATACATATGTATAAGAATGTTAAAAAATTAATCATTAATATACTCACCTTTATTCAATATTCAGGTCTTCTAGTATATTATTTGGTATTCTTCTATGAGATTTATATTTTTTAACAGCAAAAGCAGCCTGTTTTACAGATAATCCTAGTCTATATGCACTTATATAACGTAGTGAACGCCTTGAATATTTTCGAATTTGAATTAAAGGAACCGAATCAAGAGCCATTAGAACAATATTTTTTAAAGATTTAAAGCTATAATCATAGTTAGCACATGTATTAACTTTTACTGCACCCCAATAACTCTCAATATAATTCAATTCACAGTGGAATTTTGGATAAAAAATAATTTTGTGACCTGCCTCTTTGACAATTTCTTCAAGAAGTGATTTTTGGTTAGCAAAATCTGGTTCTAGGCTTAAAATTCGTATAGCACAACAATCACGTTCCTGAGGAGCTCGCTTTTTATAATCTAAGCAAATTTTTTTTAAATTAGAGTAGGTTAAAACTCTTTCTTCAAGAACTTGATACATTCCTTTTGGTGTGCCATCAGAATAATTTATTTCTTGTAAAGTACCATCTCGCATATAAGTATTTCTCATTTGAGGTTGTTGACCATCAGATTTGAAATTCATTCATGAAACTACTAAAGCATCATTAGCGAATGCAGCATGGTTACTGCTATTATCAAAAGCAAAAACGGCTACGCAACCAGGATGCATTGCTTCAAATATTGGAATTGCCTTGTTTTTTAATTGCTGCACTACATCACTAATTGTCCAGTAATCGTCACAATTATTATCAGGGTGAATAATACAACAGGCTTCAGTAGGAATTTGTTGTTCAAATGGAAGACTATTATTTTGTTGCTGGTGAATATTATCTAATCGAAGTCATTCAATTGTATTACAAAGAAACTCACTAACCATTATACTACCCCTAGCTGATTTTGGATGTAACGGTTGTTCACCAATAGGTGCCCAAAATGCCCTTTGACCATCATTTGCATAAAATACTGATTCATCATATGTTACTAGTATATGTAACCTTTCTTCAGCAGGAAGAACTGGATTGATTTGTTGTGTTAAATCATCAGACCAATCTGGCATTAATAACTCATACTGTGCCATACAATCTAAAAAACTACAACGATACTCTACAACATCCAATCGTTCATGGCCATTAACATATATATCCTTTTGATATGGTTTAAATTCTCATCCTAAATTGTTTAACCATCTTTGTGCTGTTTTATTACTAATAGTTTTTCCTGTTTCAATTCTGACGCTTGAAAATATTTCATCACGAACATAGTCACAAAGATTAGGAATGCTTAATTTAAACTTATGAAAGCTTAAATATTCAAGAAGCTTATTTTTAATATCTTCATCAAGTAAAAGTGACTGGATTTTTTGATGTTTTCCCCGTTTTGAAGCTTGAATTGTACCAGTTTTTGTATATTGATTACCCCAAGTTCTTATTAAACGTGCAGTCCAAGGTCCATGATTGAGCGAAGTTGAAATTGTATTACTTGCTTGTGCTCTAGTAAGTCCTGATTTTACAAGCCGAAGGTATTGTGCAGTATATTGAAGCCGAAGATCCTGTATTTCATTTTTTATTTTTTGTTCTAATTCAGACAATGTGTATTTAGAAGTTTCTTCTTCAGAAGAATCTATAATGTTTATGATTAAATATTAAATAATTATAACAAAAATGTAATGAATAATTATTGTAATGGATTAAAATGAAATTAGATTAAAATGAAATTTTGTATAGTACAAATAGGCAAGCCACTGAAAAATACAAAATTTTGGGGCATGTTTTTAGTCTTTTGGTTTTAGCATTAGAGATTAGCTTTAGGAGCAGAGTTTATAGTAAACAAGAATGAGTTTTAGAAGGTAAATAGAAACTTAAAATTTCATTTTAATCCGATTTTATTATGATCTATAACAATTATTACTAGCATTTAAATCAAATATTTCAGATATTTCAAGCATTTCATTACTTTTGCTATTATTAATACTAAAATAATTAGTGATTTTTTGAGAACCTTGTGCAGCTAATTTCCAACTTCGCCTTTTATTTTACATAGTTGATTTTGCATTTCCAATATAAAATCCATTTCGAGAAGTTTTTTCAAATGCATTAGGTTTATTGGCAGCATCAAACATTAAAGTATATGCGTTTGACTTGGATTCAAAGAGTTCATCTACCCAATCATTTTCATCACTCGAAGATTGACTACTTGGAGATTCATTATTTGAAGAATCAGCACCTGAAAGTTCACTGCCTAAAGATTCATATTCAGAAGCTTCATCGCTAAACAATTCATTATCTATGTCAAATATATTGAAATAAGATTAGTTTATATATTATATAAAGTGTATTATTGAAATATATAATATTCACTCTCTGCATTTTGCGTTTTTTTATTTCTAACATCTTTTAAAAATTGAACTCACTTAGACGGTTTTATTTTTTTGGTTAATATTAGTCAAAGTGCAAAATACTTTAAAAATGAATTTTATTATAAATTATTATAGAAAATT